AGCGAGCCCCTGTGGCTTGCCCCCCGGATATAAATTAAAATAAATAAATAAATAAATAAATACTAATTTATAATATATAGAAATATATATAGCTTTTAATTAATTAAAATATATTAAGAATATTGTAGCTTTGTTTTTTTATAACAAAAATCAATTAAAAATCGAAAAATATATAGAGATATATATAATTATTTTTAATAATATTAAAAATATTTAAAATTAAAAAGAAATTATATTTTAAATTTATTAGAAACATCAATCTTTTTTTTCAAGATTAAAATAGAATAAAAAAAGCTAATAACAAAAACTAAATTATATATCAAAATAGAAATAAATTAATTAATTTTATTAATCTTATTATTATTTATTATAAATAAGAAAAAGGTAGTTTATTATAATTTAAATTAATAATATAATTTAATAATATAATAGAAAGAATATTAAAAAATCTATTTTTAAATTAAACTATATATATTCTAATATATAAGAAATAGAAATATAAAGTAATTTAAATCAAAATTAGAGATGATTTAAAAAAAATAAAGATATTTTATAAATTTAGGTATTTAAAGTATTAATATTATTATAATATTATATAAATATAAGATAAAAGGTTTATAAAAACTTAAAAAAATATAGATTATTTATTGAATTGAAAATAAGGCTAGTTTTTTCTAATTCTTATTTTTAATTTATATTTTCATTTTTCTATACAAATTTATTAGAAAATATAGATTATTTAGTATTATTTTAGAATAATTTATTTTCTTTTTATTTTAAAATATATTAAATTCATTAAAATACAAATTATTTAATAGAATTCGCAATTTGATATTCAAATATAAATTCAAAATCTGTTTTCAAAAAATACGGAATATTCAGCGGATTCAGCGCGGATTTGTACATCCAAACTAGCCCTAACTAGGTATCTGCTGCTCTTATATCATTGAGGCCTATTTGCATTTGAACAATTGATTCCATTTGTGAGGAAACAGGTGGAGTGTTAGCAAGAAAAGAAGGTAAAACCGCATATCGCCAAGGCCTACCGTAAGTTCTTTAAGATTGTACGCGGAATTGAATTAGTTTCTGCTCAAGTGAATTGTGCAATTACGGCAACAACATTATTTCTCACCGCCTTTGTGGCATGAATTCTGACAACCCCTTTCGAACATAGTAAGCTGCACCGCTACGAGAACCTAACCCCAGACCCTCGGACCATTAGTTCCACGCGGTCAGATTGGAAGATGGGGAATTGGCGTAACGTCTGCCAAGCGTGTGGCACATTAGGGCGGGTCAAAAGCTCCTTTCTGCTGAAATATTATTTTGGTGGCGATATTCTCATGTGCAGTGATAATCAAGAAGATCATGATATTATTCATGGATGGCAATGCAAACTAGGAACGAAGACCGCGTCATACCTGTGGTTCATTTGCGGAGCACTCTCTAATTCAAAGTTCTTGAAAGACCTGGCCAGCTCTGATGATACTAAAAGACTTTCCTGTTTAAAGGCTCTACGATGTTTCAGTGTGATACAAAAATTTGGGTATTCAGTTGAGATTCAACGTGGTTCGTCATTACACGTGTTACTCTTTCTAACACACATAATCGTCCCCTTTGTTCCAACATTCCCACATTTAGCTTTGCCCAATCAAGTCAATCAAGTTTTAGAAAGGAGGCGAAATGGAGGTAGCCATGGATAAATCTCCCTTTGAATGAACAATTGCATGCTGTAGTCATGCATATAATTCCCAGGTAGGGCAATTCGACGGCAGAAGCATTCCCAGAACGCAGCATGAGGTCATGAGTGCTTCAGTGGTGGCGCGACCATTTTATTTCATGAATAACAACTATTTCAGTTTTGACCATTATTATAATATTCAACACCTCAAGGTTATATAGTTTTCAATCACACTCATCATGGCTTCTCACAGACCCAGATCCACGAGAGATATGAATGACGTCTTGACGACCTCAAGTTCGAACCAAGACTACATATTCCTGGAGCAACCTCAAACTGACCAAAGGATCCCAATTTCTGACGAAACCTCTCCCTCCCATCCTCCAACTAATGGGGTACCTGATTCTGGCTTGAGTACCGGCTCCTACACTCTGTTTCGACCAGAAACTCCTGTGCAGAACGAAACTAGCTATGCGCAAGATGGGATGAATCAAAACTCTAAAGTACAAGTAGACGTTGATCAGATGCCTATGCAACATCCCGAGACTCATGACAACAGGACGCTAGCTCAGCAGTATTCCAAGAACCATCTTATGCGGAATGAGGATCTAGCATCATCGGGGCATGTACATACTAAGGCTACTCCTGCACCTACAAACAACAATACCAATGCTTCTGGCGATACACTCAAAAACAAGATAGATGTAATATTAGCTAGCGCAAAAGAGACAGCAGCCGTGATAGATCCAGATGCCGCGCAGGCACAATTCGTTTCTGCTAAAGCAGCCGTGAACACAAAGTTGAAAGCGATGACGAACCTAACCGTCCAAGATATTACTGAGCAAGTGTGGGAGAACTTTTCAGCTGACAGTCATGAGATAGCACGCAAAGACTATGGTATTCGAGGTGCTGTGCAACAGCATAATGGTAGTCCCGTCGAAAACATTAGGGATATCGGATGGCACCGACCTTCCACTGAGGTTCCAGACCCATTGCTCGGAGGTCTACCAAACGGGAAACTGTTTTCATTGATAAGGCGTTTCAATAAGGTAAGAAGAACACTAGCGTATGGATAACATTCTAATTCAATCAGGATGTATTTGATATTCGTGCAGTCGATCTTGAAGTTTCTCGGGGGCTTGACCTAAACGATGCCTGGTCGGACGAACACGCTGGAGACAAGGCTACTTTGCATCTCGAGCGAATGTACTTGTCGATCATACTTGGGTTCGCTAGCCTTGGGAAACATGTTGCTAGATTGCGGTCATGGAAAGAAACTCGTCGAACAAGCGTTTTCTGTGCTGTATGTTTTATCCCGATGTTTTAATGGTAGCTGCTTACAAGACATAAGGTATATTTTACAGCATGGGCTTTTGATCTGTTACTGCCCTTAGTGCTTGGCAGTCTGATTGCGCTAGTCTCTTCAAAAGAGGCTCGCAACATTCTCTTTCCTCCAGCTCCCCTAGCTCTGGTAAACATGGAGACTGGCGGGATCCAAAAGCCTCAAGCTGGTCAATTAGGAACAAGCAATACTCTCACCGGCGCGCCAGAAAAGCAAGAGGGTGAAGCGGCTGAAGAAGAAGCTGCCAATTTTGTAAGTAACATTCATCACATGATTGAAAAGGCAATCGGAATGCACGAGAAGAAACAGAATGAGGGAGATCCGCTAGAAAGCAAGGTTCCAAAAACCATCAGAAATGCCGCGAAAGCTGTTCAGTTGGCTGGATTGTCCCCTGGAGATACTGGAAACGACGAATATCTGACTCAAAAACCCATGGAAGAAATGCTTTGGGACAAAGTTAGCCCAAAGCAGATCGAACCAATGATCCAGACGATACCTCACATTATAGGCGAGATTGTCGATAACTGGGAGCGCTTTACGAAGTAGGTGACATCATGATTTTGCTTGTGACTTTTGGCTAACAGTATAAGCGCGATCTCACCCACCCCACCATTCCCAAAGTTGGCTTTTCTCCGGATTGACGCCGTCCTAGTACCTGCATTTCTGATGTCACTTTTTGTCAGCTACTATATGGTGTACAAAGGAATTGGTTTTCTCATCGGCTTTGGTCTTTTTGGAGATCCAATCTTGACGCCAAGTCTTCAGTGGTTGAACCAAAATTATCCTAATTGGAAAGAGCTTTTAGAGCCCAAGAAGTAGGTGACTTGTCGTTCGTGACTGGAAGGCGAAGCTAAAACTGTGCAGTAACATTCTCCGCGGCGTTCCCACGAATAGCCAACTCACACTCACACTCCTGAGGATTGGAGAGGCCAATCATACGCCTCTCCCTCCAGTACAAACCTCTCAGCCCAATGATTGCAATCAGAAGCAAATCATTGACGCAGATAATCTTCCGCTTGATGCCACGAATGCCGAAATTCAGCACGCCATCCATCCCTCTGGAAATATGGAGAAATCTCATCCGCAGGAAGAAGAGCAGGGCGAGGGCCAGAAGCACAAAAAGCTGGCTAAGTTTTTCCGTGCCCTGAAGACCAATACGAAGGCATCTGTTGAGGCGAAATTAGCCGTGGACCATGTCAGAGCTAAGGCTGGCAACGAAAAAGCCAAAGGACAACTAGGCATTCTTCCAAAGAAGGAGAATCTGATTTATGCTGGCCCAAGCGAGTATAAGGCTCGATATGACGGCAAGAAGGGCTGGCTCTACATCACGGGCAACTCCATAATATTCAGCCACAAAGAGCAGGGCGACAGATCGTCTCTAGTTGTTGAGATACCTTTTGCAGAGATCAAGCAACTGAAGCGAGTAGCGGCATTCTCAGCCAAGGCTGCAGAGCTGGCAGCTGATTGGGGAACTGACAAAGATCTATTGGGGAGTGTGGAGATTAATGGGTCGAATGATAAGACGTGGAAGTTTACTGCGCTACCAGAAAGGGATGAGCTGTTTAACCGCTTGGTCGCTATTAGCGGGCATCGTTGGGAAAATTTGTGAAGTGGGTGGGCGGTTGTGTACAATAGGAAGTACCATTTGCAGATAGGGCCATGTATTTGAGTGCGCATCTATCTATTCCTGCATCACATTAAACGCCAATATTTCTACCGTCTAGACGTCTTTAAGTATGATATCCTGCATAAAGGAATGAATCCCCTTCTTTCCAAATATCAAAGCACTAGTGGGTGTGCAGACTGACGGGACACTGCAACAATGAACTTGTAGATATCTCTTAATACATTAAATCAATTATTTTAGGAATTCTTATAATTGTTGATAAGAGATAAAACAATCCAAACACTAATTTTGATATCGAGCAGTTGAAAGATAACTTTACTGAAAACATCAAAAGTTGGGAAGTATCCCATCAATCCATGCACCCATTGGTAGACTCTCAAACTAAAACCAACTCCGAAACCAGCTAAACATTTAAATAGTTGGGAAAACGGTACGACGCTATGAATGATTGTTGGTAAATCTCATGAAGATTTACTACATGGTTAGACTTACAGGCGTGAAAGTCGTGGTTTTCGTTATCCTTGTCGTACTCGTGATTGTGGTTGTGCGAGTTGCCCTAGCCCCAATGATTTGTCAGTGAAATGGACGAATCATTATTTAATATAAACTCACGGCTCCTGAATTGAGGCGAGAGACAATGCCATCCCCAAATTTATCGTCGTGGTGCTACCCGGACCAGTGACATAAATTGTTGTCGTCGAATCTTGAGTGCTAGATGCAGAGCCTGATGATTCCGAACTCAACTTGTCGATTCTAGAAGTCGAGGTTATGTTCATTGTCGATAAACTTGTAGATACCATCTTGGTTGAAAGTTCGAAAATCCCGGGCGTGATAGTTATGTATATATTGGGAGCAAATGCTAACACGGCGGTCTAAAACGTTAGCGTTGCCTACGATTATGTGTAAAGTTACACATACTGAAGATACTACAGTAGAAACTGAGATGGCTTTGGTATAATGAATCGGTAAATATTCCGTATGAATGACCCAGATTTCAGTGACAGTTGTGCACATCTGAACGCCGTCGGATGACAGTCCGCATATTTGAACGTGTATATCTGATGGATCACCTGCTGCAATTGACCGCCATGGAGCGGCATAATATGTTGTGATATTATGAACATAGTTATTTGTCAATGACGAAATTTTCCCGCGCTTGTGAAGAGCTGAGACGCTGCTGCTCGCTGGAGGTGTTGTGGTAGCTAAAGCATAGCCGTACTGTGTAGAGAAGGTGACAATCTCATCACACTCGGAGACAGTATGCTTAGTAAAGTATCCTGTCAAGATAGTTGAACATTTAGTCGTGATGACAGTCTGAAAAGAAGGCGAACATGATGTAGTCCTGGCACCTGGCAAGTTACACGTCTCGAACACGGGAATTATCGAAGTGACATTCATCCCTTGGGAAGTAGGATTGGGTTGAATAGACTTAGTAGCAGGCCAAGTTAAAGTATAGTTGATCGAGGATGTCCGCCCAGTCGACCCTTCTTGGTAGGTTTGTGCGGCACTAACATGTTTGTAGTTTTCTTGACCTTCATCATCTGTCGGCTCACTAGAGGTGAGACGAATAAGAGCCGACTTCTCGTTTCTTCCTGAAACTCCGATGGGTAGAATGCACAGCACCGAAGTAAGTACCAATAAAGTCAACATGATCGTTGAGGAATTTCAAATCAAGAAGAGAAAGAAGACTATCCAGGTCTGCAGAGGGAGAAAATGTAAGAACGAGAAAGAGAGGAAGAACAAATCGTCAACGATTTACATGTAGCAAGAACACTAAGACACATGACAACGCGCAAAGCGCGAAGCCGAGTGGTATTTGAATATTGGCGTTACTACGAGCCATAATTACCGTGGAATGTGACTGTGATGAGATTTGTTGATGTCCAGACTTCACTGTTGCTTAGCATTCTTAAGACTACGTCTTGGCATCATCATGAAATTGTGAGATTTTCATGAGCCTAGAGCTCTGAAGATATCGAATGCATGAAAATGCAACTTTGCAATACATGCTTGATGATGATAACATTGATGGCGGCGCGGTGGATGTGGAAGAAAAGTGGTGTTGTTTTCTTGTGGGATAAGTTTTGTGTGAACACTCCGGCCGCCGTATTCGAATGCCCTCTCCACCACGACGCTATGTTATCAAAAGCAACAGCGTAAGGATTTTCGAGTAAACACAAACCAATTCCCAAGTACAAGTCCAGTACGACGATTCCAAAATTCTCAAAAATTGGCTTTCATAACTTTGATACAAGTGTGGTTTTGAGCCAGATTGAGGTCAAAAGGTTTGATTAATCATGCCTCCCAAGAAGCCGAAGCAAAGTACAGCTACCCCCGAATCTCAGTCTCCAAATTGGCCCCCCTTCAAACCTTTCATGCCGCCTTCGAATTTATCGCTCGAAACTATCGTTCCTGGTCAAATTATCACAATACCAAACTTTTGGACATCTGCTCTGTGTAAGAATTATGTCTCATTCTTGAAGGGGTTGCCTTTAACTACAACACCTGGAAAGCCTAAGAAGGGTGATGCATTGAGAGTCAATGATAGATTTCGAGTTGATGATTGGAACTTTGCCGAAAGACTTTGGAGAGAGACAGGACTGAAGGAGCTTTTATGTGGTGAAATTGAGAGGGAATATGAAGAAGAGGGCGATGAGATGAGCAAAGAAGAACGAAGAGAGTTATGGTGAGTGCTCCGCCGCTTCATTACGTCTAGTGATATACACTCGTCAAGATGATGCTGACAATTGTATCGTACAGGGGAGGGGATGTTGTAGGTCTCAATCCCGCCATTCGGATATATAGATATTCTAAGGGGCAGTTCTTCGATTGCCATTGTAAGTCATCCTTTCCTCACGAGTTACAGGAATTTCTCATTCTCATTTATTCTCTCAGATGATGAATCAAATCTTATCACACTTCCAACCAAGCCTGCGTCTACTCAAGCAAAGACAACCTGGACACTATTGTTGTACCTCACGTCTCCAGCAACTGGTTGTCTAGGAGGAGAAACAGTCTTTTACCCCGAGGAACTTCCTAACAGGAAGTCTCCCATTGACAAACCTGTTGTCATAAGCCTCGAAACTGGAATGGTTTTATTGCACAAGCATGGTGACGATTGTATGTTGCATGAGGGAAGAGAAGTCACGGAGGGTGAGAAGTGGATTATAAGGACTGATGTCTGTATAAAACGTGTGACTAAGTCAACGTTCTGATAGATACGAATTAGTGCTGAATCTCATTATCAACCTACATTTTTAGTATAACATATTTATGCATGGTTGAATAAATTATGCAAAAATGCATTATTGAGCTTGGCGAACCACCAAGATAAACCAATTCGGCAAACCTTCCTTGCATCGACTTTCTTACCCAGTCCCTCTTGTTGAATGAGAGACAACGTGGTACAGCTAAGATTGCTACCCCTCACCAATAACTGTATTTAATCACATACGAACAAATTCATGGCACACAGAGGCACCAGTGGCCTAAAATGCCACTTCAAGATCAATTCATTACTTACACACCGATACTCTGCCCACTAACAACTAGCAACTAATAAGTTCAGCTTAGATACTTCATAAAGAGAACCCCCAGCTTATCCCCCTCAGCGTAACAAGGCACCCTCTTCAATTATGTTTTCCAGAGTATCTCTGACTCGAAGCTTCCTCCGAGCTGCCAAGCCAGCCACAGTTCCACGTAGAGCTCTCATGACCCTTCCTTCGTTTTCGCTCGAAGGAAAGACTTGTGTTGTCACCGGCGCTGGAAGAGGAATTGGCAAAGAATGTCTTACTGCTTTTGCGCTCAGTGGTGCCCGCGGGGCTTGCGTTGACCTTACTCGCTCCATTGGTGAGGAATCGATCGATCACATCAAAACAAGTATTGAAACCACGAATCCCTCTTACAAACCCGACCTCCGTGCTTATGGATGTGATGTGGCATCAGAAGACGCAGTACAAAAAACATGGACAGAGATCGTCGAAGATTTTGGACATGTCGATGTAGTTGTTACAGCTGCCGGCATTGTTGAGAATTATGAGGGAGAGAAATATCCTTTTGACAAATGGAAGAGAATGGTGGACATAAATCTTAACGGAAGCTTCTTGTTCGCCAAGGAGGCAGGGAAATACTGGATCGAGAAAAAGTCTAAGGGGAGCTTGATTCTGATATCATCGATGAGCAGCATGATTTGTGTCAGACCACAAAAGCAAGCAGCGTATAATGCTGTAGGTGTACATCTCGTTCACAACTAGCCCGCCATGCTGCCATTTTTCTTCTCAAAAAGATCATCGCAAAGTTTTACTAACAAGGTGAAGAGCAAAGGAGCCGTCTCAATGCTTGGTAAGAGTTTGGCCACAGAGGTAAGAAACCTGGCATTTTGCTCCCCGAACAAGACTCATCTGAATTCAGTGGGGCCCCTATGGGATCAGGGTCAACAATTTATGTCCCGGATACGTGAAAACAGACCTCATAATTGATCTTTTGGAAAAGGAAGGAAATCATATCGAAGAAAACTGGGTAAAAGACATACCAATGGGGCGTCTCAGTCATCCAAGTGAGTTACAGGGAACGCTCGTCTATATGGCGAGTGATGCATCGAGCTATTTGAATGGCTGTGATCTTGTAAGTTCAATATAATATGTATCATATATTCACACGTGCCTCTCACTAATTTTCGTAGGTCGTTGACGGTGGATATACCTGCTATTAATGTCTTCAAGACATTCAGGCAATCCTAGTTCACTTTAGTATACCATCAGAAATCTACGCTGTCTCCAAACCAAGAAGCTTTTATTGATGCTATCCCGATAAAGTGCACGGATTGTTGTTTGACAGAAGTCCGTAAAGTACTTCTTTGCCCCGCATGACAAAACATTTCGCGTCTCAGCTATGTTCGTTTCTCCAACTCAGCCCACGTAATTCTTTTTGTTTTACCAGATTTTGATAACAATTGATTCGTCCAAACTTGATCAATTGCGGAGATTGAGCTTGCCTTTCACTTCTGCTACAAGCTCCTCAATATTCTTCGTCACCCTGTATCAAGCTTTGGCCTCGGCTATCGTGCCTTCAGCTTTGTATGCCATATAAAGATATCATGAGTAGAAACTTTAACTCTTCTAAACAATTTTCTACGTTATAATTTTCTATTGCAACGAAATCCCACTCCAATACAAGCTCTCAGACCTTCCCAATCTCAATTCTATGCCACCCAACCAGTCGTTCTACTAAGCCTGTGCCAACATACCTCTCGGCTCATAAATCGACTTTCTGAAACAAATACGCTACACTGCACACAACTGCCAAAATGCGTATCACCATTGTCATCGCTGTAATTTTTGCATCTATCGCGTCAGCCCGTGTCATTCCAGCATTTTTAACATCTCCATCAACCGAAGGTGTTACGACGAGAAGCATTAGACACCCAACTATGCTAGGTCGCAGTCTTCTCGAGACGGACATGCTGTAAGGGAATTGTTTAAAGATGAATGGGTCGATGGCCGCTATCTTTTTCAGTGCCATTAGCTGGTCTATCGGCTTCTTGTCCGTTGCAAATACGGAGCATGGAGGAGTTTTTGATATCATTAATGGGTGATATGTGTTTGGCAATGGGTCTGGTGACGTGTGTATTGCAGTCGAGGAGTTAAGGGCGAAGAATCAGGATGAAGGAAGTTCAATGAAGTGTTCAAGCTGGTTATAATACTGCAGATTTCCTTTGTAGAAGCGTAATTTCCGAGAAAATGACCATCTTCGTGTTTTCAAGCAATGCAAACGCTTCTATAACCAATTCTCGTCTGAATATGTGATCATGAATTTGCTCATAAATAACTTGATTCTGACTGGACGGCCGAAGTTGCTTCGGCCCCAGGTCCTTCCCCACTCAATGCTTCAGAAGAATCTCAGCCATACACACTCTGGACTGTGGATAGTGATACCTTTGATATATCGCACGGGACTTTTCTTCCATTAGAATACCATCATCATAGATCGAAAGTATCATAGAACGCACACGCAGCTTGACCCAGAACTTATCAATATAGTGAACTTGTGGCCATGACTAATCTTTCTCAAGAACCAAGCTGATGGTTTCTTACCACTGGTCCATGTCCACGCTCGCCAGGTCGATTATGCCGTAGTATCGGACCATGAGGTCCCATTTCCGGCTTCTTCTTCTCTTTCTCTTCATCCACTCGCTCGCCCACAGCACCGTCACGATTCGCTCTCCAAACACCACCCTCCTCACCACCAAATTCTTCTTTCTTCCATACCTCCACCTTCTCCTTACATTCTTCCAGGGCTTCCTCACCTGCTCTCCAAGCCGCCTGGCGATGAGGTGAAGATACTGTAATCAAAATGCTTTCCTCTCCAATAGGTACAACCCCCAATCGATGAATCATGGCAATGGATGTCAATGAGTGTTTTTGAACAATTGCTTTACAGATACTGAGCATAGTTTGTAAGGCCCTTGGCTCGTATGATGTATATTGAAGTTCTTTTACTGGTTTTCCTCCAAAATTGTCTCTGGTGGTACCTACGAATAATTCAGTACGATACTCCGAGATCAGTATCTATCTCGTTGATATTACCTGCGAAAAGAACGATGGCTCCGGCCTTTGGGCTTCGGACTTTGTCCATCATAACTTTAGCATCAAGATACTCGTGAGTTAACGCCACATAGCAATTATCTTCGCAAAGCTCTTTAGCCATGATTTCAAGAATTTTGAGATAATTAAAATCCTGTGATGTATTTAGAGGACTCATAAGGCGCCTACGCTGGGTGTTCATGTGGTGGGGTACCTAGGTAGCCTTCTGTATTGTGGCGTATAGTGGGGTCAGCCTTGCTTGTTTTGTGGCTCAAAGCTGACCTTCCAAGAACAACCGGCCTTGATTTATTAACAAACATTATTAATGTATTCACAATCGACTTACCAACATTTCAATCACACATACTTCTCATCTCAATACTCGTGGCTCAATAACTCAGGATTACATCCATAATCCATATCTTGCGACTTTCACAGCGTGATGAGTTCCAGACCTTACAAACTAGGCCCTGACGCCGACATGTATGATGATCAAGAATATTCGAGCGAATACCGACAACATGGAGCGCCTGGATATGATTCCTATCAATCGCGGAAGGGTAATCGATAGTTTAGACATGCAGATTCCCAAGTATTTGTGCTGATCATCGATGTCTTAAGATAACTCAAGGAGTCCTCTACGAGGACCTGCTTCTGGCAGACAATACGACTCGGAATATACAGAACGGGCATATCGAGACGAGCGCAATCAATATGTCAACAGATATGAGCGTGGTCATGATAGAGACAGATCAAGATCTCCGCGCAGAGAGAATAGAGGCCGCTATACGGATCGCGATCGCGAGGGATACAGATCTCCAGTCCGTGGAAGAAGCCGCAGCCCTTCGCCTTACCATGGCGCACCACCAAATCGAACAATAATCTTTGAGGGACTGCCTCTAGATTTAACACAGGAAGACGTTGGCCGCCCCATTCCTATATTAATATCGAATCTGAGAATCCACTTCTAGACTAAGTGTTAATGTGAATAAAATTGGAATTCTGGCTAAGCATAGCGATTGGCCTCATTGGCCATTGTTTTGAGTTATAGATATCAAAAGAACTTCAAACAAACTTCAAAGTTGAGGGTGTGGAGGAGATCAGATTGATCAAGGATAAGAAAACTGGTAGGTCGGTCAATCTTTACTTGAAGGGAACATACATCTCACCATTTGGCCCGTAGGTATATCAAGAGGATTTGCCTTTGCGCAATTTTATACCCTACCAGAAGCAAAACGATTCCTCGAAGAACATTATCCAACTGTTTCTTTTCATGGTCCTTCACAGGCACCGGAAACGAGCAAAGTTAGAATCGCTTACAGCCGCGAGAAAACCGATCAAGATCGAGCAAGCAAGCATGAGGATGATTGGAAATGCGATGTTGTATGTTATACTTCACGCCGTTTGGGTACTGAAAGCTAATCACACCTAGTGCTACACTTTGAATTATTCATACAGGATGATGTGCTTCAAGTGCAATGGGCCAAGAACTAGTACGTTGCGACGAGCCACACTCACGATCTGTATTGCTAACAATTTTAGGATCAACCACTCATGGCGTTGTTGTGACACAAGGAAATATATCTAGTTACTCAGGCTTCGCCACGACTGGAGACAGTGATGCATCTCCCGACGAAACCGCTTCTCAATTTCTCCTACTTAGAGGCCTGGAACCTGGCGTGACGGAGGAGATTCTTGCTAAAGGAGTGTGCAAACTTTACAAGACCAAAGCAACTACATCAGGAGATACACACACGGCCAAGAAGACGAAGATTTCCTCTACTTCTGGTGATGCTTCGCTTGGCGCAAAAGAAGGCTCTCTCCGTCGTGTGCTACTGGTTCGAGATCGTAAGACAAACGACAGTTGGCGATACGGGTTTGCCGAATTTGGTTCGGTTGAGGATGCACAAAATGCTTTAGCCAAGTACAATTCTACAGATAAATTTACGATATCTTCGAAACCTGTCATTGTCTCGTACATCCACGCAGGTGTATTTGTGCCTGTCCTCGACTTGTTGAACGAGGAAACAGCGAGGTTCACATTTAGCCCACTGTCAAACTCTGCGATCAATTTGATGTACTGGGATGCTACAGCTTATGCCAGCGAGTTTTCCACTGTAATTCCAGAAGCTCCTGTCAATCATGCGAACAATCAGCGAACCAAGGTAGCTGTAGCGGCAGCAAATGAAGGACTTGTTGGTGGCAAGGATGGAGAACCTCGAACCAAGAAGAGAAAAGTCGAGAAGGATTCTACTGCTGGTACTAAGACAGTTGTAGCGCCACATCTCCAATTCTGGACCAACAGACATAATGAGATTCATGGTCTACCTGCGAAAGAGTTTGAGGACAATGATTCTGACTCGACCGGTGGAATTGCAAAATCAACACCAGAACCCATTGCAGATTCTCCGCCTACTCAGTCATATGCAGATCTGGACCGCAAATGCTGTCTCTTATGCTCCCGCCAATTTAAGACAGAAGCAGAAGTCAACAAACACGAAAGAGTCAGTCAGCTTCACCGTGATAACACGAAGAATGAAGAGCTAGTCTCGAAAGCTTTAGCTAAGCTCAAGAAATCCGAAAGCTCTGCTTATAGAGATCGAGCCAAAGAACGCCGACAGGCTTTCAATCAACCAAAGCAAACTGCTGCGCAACACAATAAATCAAAAACTTCGTCTTCCACGACCAGCTCTCCTTCGCACAAAGGGGAACAAAGCGAGCCTGTGGCACCAGTTCAATCAAAAGGTGCAGCGCTACTGGGTAAAATGGGTTGGAACGCGGGAGAAGGCTTGGGCGCTCAGGGCACAGGAAGAACCGAGGCTATTGCGACAGAGTTATACACTCAAGGGGTGGGCCTAGGAGCTGAGGGTGGTAAGCTCGGTGATGCGATGAAGGAAGCGGAGAGACAGACAAAGGGTGATTATAAGGCGTTTGTAGGCAGGACTAAAGAAAAGGCTAAGGAAAGATATGAAACTTTGGGTTGAGTGGTTTGCCGAGCTGGAATGTGTATTGTATTGTATTGTATTGTATTTGTAGATAAGATAAATAATGATATTGGTTTCATATCAGCAAAGGAGAGTTTTTCAGAATCTTACTATATGGGTGCGTATCTTTTGACAGTAGAATGTTCTTTATTTCTTCACTCCAGCAGACTTTGAAGATTGATTCGCACGGGATTGTAGGAGCGGCATGGGATGAGATGAGATGGGATGGGATGAATGGGATAGTTATTGCCAAGGCGCCGAGACTCTAGCGAAGGGGTTGAGTTTTGTGGATTGTCGTCATCTAGATCATTCTCATCGTATCTGATATCAATATGATATTTAGAGCATGTTGAAAATTCCAATTTTACAATTATTCGAATGTACCTAGGTATACTCTCCTATCCATCATTTAACTTCCACACGCTAAAGATGTTGTGTACATAACCTTCCCAGCTACAAATCTAGACTATCTAGTCTCCTTGTATCTGTACTCTATTGCATACAATTAGATACCTGTGTGTGTTCCTCCCCTTTACTTCCCTTCCACTTCTACTTCCGTAACCACGCCTTCTTCCGCCGACGCCTTCAAATCCACCTCTCCCATTTCACCATTCCACCCATTAGCCACCAAGAACTTTCTGAAATTTTCATCTCTGATACTCAAATCCTCACCCGTAATATCTTCCACGAAGAAATACGTAACCGCAATGCCCGCCACGCCACAGATAGCCGCAATGATAAATGTCCACTGCTTACCCAAATTCGTTTGAATTGGAGTGAAAGCTTGGGTGCCGACTGCCGCGCCGACTTTGCCCAGGGCTGCGGAAAGTCCATAGCAAGTTCCTCTCACGGATGTGGCGTAGGTTTCAGAAGAGATAAGTCCTAACATGTCACCTGGTCCTAAGTTCCCCGAACTTTGCATCAAGCCATAGAACACCACAAAGAGAGGGACGATCTTGGTGATTTTATGGTATGATAATCCGATGATCAGACCAAACATTAGGTATCCGAAGAAACCAATCATCATTGTATTTTTGCGACCGATGCGATCACAGAGTAATGCACCAACAATGACACCGGGTAGTGCGATGACTCCTAGTAAAAGGTTCCATTCTCCAGTTTTGAGAACGACGGTGCTTGGATCCGAGGGAACTACCGAAGCAATAATTGTGCCTGAAAAAACACCATTGGGAAATGTTACAAAATCATAAAGGAACCATGCGCCGCATGTTCCGACGAGTGATTTCCAGTAGTAGCGTAGAACAAGTTTGTATGGGACATTTTTCTTAATGGCTCCCTTGCGGTAGAGTGTACTATTGAGCATCTTGATTCGGAAGTAGAAGACTGATAATGGGAGGATGCAACCAATTCCGAAGCATACTCTCCATACAGTGTTGTAATGCTTGTAGTCACATGCTGCGAGTACAATGAGAAAGATCGAGACGGCCAGTGGACCACCAAAGGACAATGGAAGGTTAGTGACAAGAATGAATATGGGACCGCGATTTTTTGGGGCATGCTCATTCGCGGCTTCAGAAGCGGAAGTAGACGATGCTGGATATTCACCTGAAAAGATGTTAATTGGATGGAAAGAAAGAAATTTTAAGGGACGAAATTTTAAGATGATGAGATCCCTCAATCCTGACTGCAGTCCTAGACTGGAAGCTTTGAATGTTCGAAAGGCACATTGATAGTTTTCAATGTTTTGAATATCTTAATATTTTGATCAAATTGACTTGGTAGATCTGATATTGAGAAAGGATTCCAGACTGAACAGCTGAATTTTGTTTCTGGACTGCAGTCGGCACTGTGATACATTTTATGAGATTTTAAGAACTTACCACCAACACCAAATCCTATGATACCTCTCGCAACAGTCATCATCCAGAACATGCTAGAGAAAGTTAGAATACTGGTGCACAGTCTTCACCAAGGAGAAAGAATAGAAATTCATGTGCACTTTAGTTGTTTCGAAAGTTGAAGAGCTTTCGAAAGAAAGGCATTTTTGGCACTTCCAATGGTCCGTCATTTGAATTATTCAGTGAATACTGGACATCGTGAGGAATCGATTTACTAAAGAAGAACATACCCATCTATTGTAACGCCTTTGGAAGCCGTGGCTAATATGCCTCCAAATACAATCATCAAAGTCGTAGCAATAATAGCAAACTTTCTTCCAAAGTAGTCGCAAGTGAGCCCAATGGTCACTTGACCGAAAATCTCACCAACCAAAAGAGAATTAGAAACACGAGTACTGGTTGCTGCGGTATACTCCTTCGGGTATTGTTTCTTAAGGACGACATTTGCCATCGTCATGATGTTGTTGAAGTAGCCATCTGAGACCAAAGCAGCTCCGGCCGCAAACTAGAATAGGGCGCGATTAGAGGATAGATCAAAGCATACAGGAAAGTGCAACATCTCAAATTTGTATATCCGTCGCTTGATGGCCATACAAACTCGTCTCGCGCAATCAAAACTGGCTAGATCAAATAGAAGTGGTATAAACTCACAATTGTAAATTTGTCCGAAAGAGACTGTTTGGATTTTTTGGGGAATACTTCCTCGGACGGTGGTGTCGCAGGATGATTTGTGTTTGAAGATGGGGCAATCTCAACACTCGTTTCCTTTTCCGCCATGTCTTCAATATGTATGTGAAGCTTTCGGGTGGATTGAATAATCAAAATGATACAAAACTACCAAAAAAATGCAGGCTTTTCAGAAAGGTTGAATCTTGTCATAGACTCATACACGTAAGATGTGGTGAGACCTGCTGTGTTATCCCGGGTCGGCGTATCGAGGAAAAATTGTCTTTATGCATGCATGGAAAGGAAGGAACGACCTGCATATATATCAATGCAGAGGAAAGAGTTTTAGACCTACTGAGTACCACCGTATCTCTCTATCTTATCAATATGATACCTACCTACTCGAGCTACTGCAACATATTGGAAGAATAGAAACGAATAATTGGGCGAATCATCTTCCTCAAACATCGAAACGTGCATCATGAATGTAGAATTATTCCCTGATATGCACACTTTCGCAAGAAAAAGTCAATTTCGCATGGGTCGGTTGGTTACCTCGACTCGCTCGATTAACACCATTACTACGATGGACGTAATTTTCCAGACATTGAGGGCAGGTCAATGTCATCTGTGTCTCGTTGCAGTATAGATCATCATACCCCGGATTGCAATATGCAACAGATAGTATTTTGTCTGACCAGTCGAGAAAGCTTAAGAGAGGTGGTAGATTCGAAAACCAATGGAATAATGATGTAGATACGTAACCAAATCCTGGAGCAGAAAACGTGCCGAGGCCGGTCCGGAGGAACCATGTTTGTCACCACGTGATTGGTTGAATTTTCGAGCTGAGGAGCATTCGATGGATAGCTCGATGGTAAATCACGGTTGAATGTTTAAATCAGAATTTGATTGTATATTTCAGTATAGTGTGAACCATAATCCCACACTTGAAAGGGAATGTAACTTCACAATCGGCAGAGAATGAGAATAGCGCAGGCGAACTATGATGGGGCTAGTAATTCTACGGTGACCGGTTGTCCTTAGCACCGGCGCTCATTTCACGACTTCACTACATTCAAACTTCCATCTAACCTCATTTCCCACATCAACCTCACGCTCGATGACAGTCAACGTGTACATCCTGTGTCAGGAACTGACTCCAATACTCTATATTTGAATACAGAAATACAAAGACCCTATTCGCCTATTCATCCACAACGGCGAAGGCCTCGAACTCGAAGGATAGGGGCATTAGAATTCAAAGGAATATGACCGATAAACAGTGCGAAGTTTCTTTGAGAGAGACTTCTGCCTTACTAGCAGTCACATTATGCTTTAGAGTGCTTGGGAGACTATCTCGTATGATGGTGAATGTAAAAATTCGAATGATGTAGCACGTCCTGGGCATGACTATGTGGTATCATCATTTGATCCCTTGTGTTTTCAAGAGGGCCTGGAAAGATGATGTTATCAAATCCAAATGTTGGAGAGGAAATTGCTGACCTGAATAGCGCCGCAAAGAACTGTGATACTGGCAGTCATTGTTGGACAACAAGGTATCCAGAACGCCGGTACGAAATGTGAGCATATTCACTTGCCGCCAGCCAGCACAGTTAGCGTTGAATAAGCTATGTCTAGCTATTTGTATGATGAATGGCGTCTTGTAGATTGGCTGAAGGGTGATTGAAGTTGCTAGTGTCGATGGTTTCTGAGTGGATGACCATTGGCAAGGTATCTCACAGCAAGATATTGATGGGTGTTTCAGGGAGTGCTTCTGAGAACTGCTTTACATGCATTATGCTGAGCTATTGTTCGCTAGCATGGCTTCACATATATAGTATTTGTGGTATTGACTAGACACCTGGAATGTCTGTTGCTCAGAAAATATCTTAGCATGTCAAAATCCCTACTCAATTCAAACTTTCACATTACTTCCGTCTCAACAATAAAACATCCATGTCGTGACCAAGTTCAAGTTCTTGCCATTTAATAATGGCAGGTGAATTAATTTCACAATCCCTTCTGATTGGAGGCTCTTTAATTTTTAACTTAAACGAGTTCAGATAAAGGTCAAGCTTTCTATCAAAATCTTTGATATTTTGACTTGACATAACTCAGCACAACACTTAGTATAAATATAGACTGAACCTTCATTTCAGTCTGGTTCGTTCTGGCCAGAACAATAAAGACTTCGATCGCTACCTCTCTGATCCAAACAAGATTGTAAGTTTGCTTTATTATAATTTGGCCAGCCACCGGCCACCAGACTGCCGTTCACCATAATTTGATTATCAAAAGAGTACAGACCACTAAAGACATCGATATATCAGGCAAATTTGTATTAATCATGCCCTTCAGCTCTAGACGTAGCACTGCAAGAGCTCGTAAGTACAAGTGAAGATCATTATCGCCCCTTCCATTCTCACTTTTGCTTCGAGGTTCAATATGGCAAGCTTACTCAATATCAGACAACTCACACGGGACCTCGAACTCTATGAGAGAATACAATAGCAGGCCCAATCCTGCGAATCATTCGCATATACAAACCATACCTGCAGAGAGCATTCACGAAAATTCGGAGTCAGAGAACTCAATTGAATCACCAGATTTCATCATCAAAGGATCAGCACAAGAAGAAATAGAAGATCTCCTTGAATACGAAAAAAGACTACAATCACTTCGGACAGATTATCCTGCAAATTCTACTACTACAACACCGATCTCTCTGGATACTACGTACGCGGATATCATGGCTGCTCGACCATCGAGATCGCGTCGACGAAATGAAGCTCTGGATGAGGGACAAGATGTGAAATTAGGAGGACCAATGACTCTTGAATCACTCGGACCTTTCAAATATACCTTTAAGAAGAAGAGGAATTTGAAGACAAAATTTTCAGCATCGACTATTAATGATGATCAAGCAACTGATATCGATAATGGAGGGGCAGGTTTAAATGATGATGGTATAATTACGACCGAAGGGGTAAACATGGATTTGGGTCACAGTGAAACTACTAGTGAGGTTGGACTGGATCCGGAATTGGTAGGAAGTGCAAGTTCATCACGTCCTATTTCACCTACATCGACCCCACAATTCAAACTATCTCTCGATATCTCCTCTTCCCACTACCACACAACTTCACAAAAACAACGAAAATACTTAGAATTCACTTTCTCCTCACCGGCGCCAAAAAGAATCATTGAAGATCTCGAAAAGAGTTCGGAAACTACCGAAGAAGAATTGAAAGATTCTGATGATACCGTGCGAGAGAACAATTTGGAAGACGACGGCAATAAAGAAAATATCAGCAATAACATCATCCAACCAATTTTTACTGCTGAAGATACAACGGCAACCAGTACCACTGCTACTGTTACTTCGACTGATACCCATTCAATTGATCCAATTCCTTCGGCAGTTGTTGTACAACCTCCTCCAGAAGTCTCCAGGGTCTCCTCTTTTTCAAACTCATCCACCACTGATAAAAGCAGAACGCGAACTCTCTGTACAATTGATAGTGGCATTGGTCTGGATTCTCCTTCTCTTGATCTTTTGAAGAGTGACAATTCCGATACACAATCGGTTAAGGATAAGAGCGACGCAGTTATGGCTCGCATTGCTTCATCAACAGGACTAATGGTGAGAAGCTTGAGTGATATAACTACTGTTAATGATGGATTTGATTCAGTAGAATGGGATCCAGATCTTCCTGTTCGCTCAATTAACAATTCTCCTGAGCCATTATCAGTCGAAATACAACCTGTGGCTTACACCACTGTCGGATCTCGTGTCAATCCTAATTTGCAACCTCAAATCTCCGCCCCCAACCGTATTCAACGTGAGGGCTCTATTCGCCGACCACAATTGGATCCCACTCATAATAGACAACCAAATTATTATTCACACACTCGTGGTCCACCACCTCCTTTAAACATGCAAAACTCCATGCACTATGCGCAACAACTTGGTCAAGCACCTAATTCCTTCAATCCTCCGCCAGCCACATCTGCGAGATCTACTCGCTCTCTGCGGGCCTCTCAGAGACAGTCCCAATCAGACCAAGAGAACCATACGCTTTTCAGACTTCAAGGGATGATCAATTCTAGAGTATCTAACGGTCATTATCCTGTCTCGCCCAACACCTCGACTCCCGCCTCCCATCAAAATGATCTTTCATCAATTTCGAATGAGGAGCAGGATTTGGCAAAGGGAATTGATTTACAAGGTCCCATATCAGGTCTAGAAAAGATGCAGACTTTACAGAGACTTGCGAAATTCCCGAATCCGATGCAAACCTCAGCTCTGCGTCGATTGTCTGAGTTGCAAGCACCCAAAGTCGAAAACACTGCAAAGTCAAATGGGGACATTGAAGTTGCGAGGCAACGTTTAGAGTACCTCATACGAAACTCAAGAGACAACACTATGCTAGATGGTGCACAGGCTGCTAAGAATGGAGAACTCGACCGTACCTACACATTTCCTCCACCAGGAATCTCCGACACGGCATACAACCCACTCTACAACGCATATTCGGGATCTAACAATCATTCAAGAGATTCTGCAAATCATCGAGGGGTGCCCGGTTATCCACAACCATTAACTGCGGGCCCACCAGGACAGCGTTCGTATGCTAATAATAGACAGAACAGTACCTATAGTGAGGAGGCTTGGACACAAGACCAGGTTGGAGCGAAACAGAACTCACACACAAGCACCGAGCCTGTCTCGCCGTGGCAAGAATCAAAAGTTCTCAACGAGCAGTATAGTGCTCAGGCACCAGCACAAGCTCCTTCTGCACGCGCAACAGATACAATTTCTATGCAACAAGCCCGTCAGTATTATCCCCACGGGTTTCCCAGCGACATGACCGGGAGATTCACTCGTTTGTCGATTGATGTACAAAAAGAAATGGGACTTCTCGAGGATGAAGAGACTCCCGAGGAAGCTCGAGCAAGAAAACAAATGGAGAAGGATGAATGGTTCTACAGTGGCCAGAAACGATGGAACATGACAGTTCAGGAGCATATCGCAGAAATTGAAATCCATACCAATCCTTTCGGGCCTATCGGTCCTCCCACGAAGAAAAATTTGCCTTCCGACAACAGACCTCTTCCCGGCATCACTATCTCAAGGATGGAAAGGAAGACTATCCCTGAAGTAATCGCTCCACTGATAGATGGAACTCTTGGCAACTTGTTCGCCATCAAAGCTCAACAGGAAGATGGCAACTTTACGTCACCATTCATAAGATACGCCAAGAGTCCAGAATGGCACATTGATACAAGTGCAAAAGGCAATGATTCTTTCTTCGAACAAAGATGGGGTGTCTAAATCGATGCTCCACCGCCTCATAGCGATCCAGTTCAGCGATACTAGATTCTTGCCGCTTCTCTAGTACGCAGATAACGATATCCGAAAGATCATTTCAATGCCTATGTAATTGTTTGTCGATATCTGTCTCTTATCAAAGCGACCCGATCGATTAATCAAGACTTAATCGTTCCAAGGGCTACATCTCAAATGGTGTTCTGGAGAATCCTTCATGAAGCTGTTAACAGAAGTGTGTGGCTCTTCACAATTAACAAGTCTTTTCTTGCGAGTTAGGCTCATCTAATAATTGCTTGTACACTTTCCACCTTTTTCTTTGAGTATGATGGAAATTCTATTTCCTCGCCATGATCGACTGCTTTTTGTCACTGTCTCCGCATACTTTCTTTGGCCTTTGCATTAATTCAGAAAATGAGAAAAAAACATTTGTAGGATTGATAGAGATAATGTAATCTCGTAAGGGGAGGGGGGCGATGGAATTCCGACTTCTGGCTTTACTGACTGCATTTCTCAAGAAGGTTTTGGCTTCCAGCTTACTTCGATGGGTGGTGATGTGGATCAGCCTAGAAAAACGAATTTGGGAAGGCTTTCCAGTTCTGGAAGAAGATGGTGGCTTTTGTTGTTGTTTTGCTTGGTGCTATTGTGGTTTTGGCTTGCTGTTGTTACAATTTTGCTTGAGGCTGGAGTGAGAGATCCGTTCACACATCATCATCATGATTGCATCTAATTTGGCTTCGCAATGCAATTGTGGTGACTGATGGGTCTTTGTTTACTTTTGAAAAAGAAACAGTATACGTGTGAATAGGTTTTCAATTGTCGCTAGTTTGTGTGAGAAGCATCCTGTTGTATGAGTAGTTGATCGCGCTCGCTAATTGCTCATCTTAATATGGTAACAGTCCTTTTCGTTTAGTGATTTGCTGTGTGAGACCTATCCATATCCAGATACTCTTATTCACCGATGTCTGATATGAATTTCATTGCATGCCGGTGTGAAGGTTTTGAGAATTTGTTACTTTTACTCACACTCTTCCCTTCTGTAGCGCTACAAGCACACAGATATATGAGTTCTGAAGATGTGATGAAGGGTGAATGGTACAGTTCGAAGACGGCTTGAAGTGGGAGAAATTTTTCTTTATAACAAAGTATAGAGACTACTACATTATAGTCTAGTCCTCGCTATCCCTGCTCAAATACTCGACTTTAAGGCTTGTGAGCGACGTACTCTGTTGTTGATAATGTGTTTGTCATCCATACTGAAAACCATCTCATGTCATCTTATTTCATCTAATTTTTCATCACCATGCTTTCCCAATCCCAAACACCGCGCATGACCAAAGTCGAGATTCCAACCCAAGACAAAAAAACCCCTTCCATGCGTCCGTCACATTAGATTTATTCAAGCATTCATCAATCATTAAAAATTTAATCATAAGCCATCATCCAATCATCCCATCCATTCCCATATCCGCCAATTACCCCATAATCATGGCATTATCAGCCCCTCTTCTTCCTAATCGCTCTATTCCTAAGCCTTCTTTTCCACCCCTACCCATTCCAACTCCAAATGCATATTTCGCACCTGCTCCTCTGAAATCCGAGGATGTACTCACGAGTCTTGTCACCAAATCTATCTTAGATCGAGGAGCGCTAAACGCCGCATCATCTAGAATGTTACTTGAATGTACAAAACTGATTATTTCGGCTAGACAATCGATCGGATGTGGTAAATGCATAGTGCGCCTCTTAGAAATCGTAAGGAGAAGAGTCAGGAAATAAACGACGAGGAATGCGAGGAGGATGTAGAAAGAAGGAAGATTGGGAAGCATGCGCACTTCCCCCGAAGTGATGGTCAGAGGGAAAAATAATCCTCCTGCGAGAATGGGAAGGATGATGAAGAGAAGGGAGACGAGAGAAAACCAGGCGACTCGGAAATGACCATTTCCAAGCGCAGTGATGGTGCTTTGGATGGGGAGAGAAGCGGGGTAGTCGAGCAGGAGAGATTTTACTGCGGGAGAGCCGTCGGGTTTGGAGAGTTCGGCCCACGGTTGGAGTTTGCGGAAGGCCATGTCGATGGGTTGGAAAAGGAGGTAGAGAATCATTCCGATCAGAGATGGGATGAAACTGTATAGGAAGTTTGCAGCGGAATATCCGGATCCGTTGGGATCGGCAACAACTAAGGGTTTGAATCCGTGACGTATGGCTGTAGATGGAAGAAATGATACGACGATCAGAGCCAACAACAGGAAAAAAGCTGTGACAGACCATAGAACTACGAATGTGTCGCGCAAAAACCATGGAATGTATCGGAATCGAGTAGCGTCATCATGGAGAGATGAACGATTGTCTTCCAGATCTGGGATACCACTACCGCTGCTTACTTTTCTCTCTGCTTTTCCGCCTTCTAAGGTATACCGTCTGATAGGCGCGCCCGTTTCTCCAATTGAGTAGAAAATTCCTTGTGTCGGACTAGGGGTTCTCCAATATCCCAATCGATCGCTTCGATCGGCTAATTTGACTCGGATCTCCTGTTTAGATTTCATGGTCTCGGTACCGGGATAATCTCTAAGACTATTGCTTCGTGGTAGTAGCGCGATCAAATCAGCCAACGATCGAGGATCCCATGATAATCCCGTTGTTCGACGGAAGAAAAAAGCTCCGATCAGAACTAATCCCATACACATCGATATGTAGATCGCAACCAAAGTCCACGCAATCCCTTGCACCGCAGTCCATTTCCAATTTCCCTCTACCAACACTACGGAAAACAAACATCCCTGGAGCGGAATCGTGAAAATGGATAACCATAAACACGATGCCCCAATATCTATCATCATGGGACCGTCCCATCTCGGCCACAACATATGGCGAGGAAAAGCTTCCAAAAATAACGCGTTGGTGCGGGGCTCCGCATCTTCCATCGCCATTAGTACGTATGGCATTATTCTCGTAATGGCACCCATTACGTATTGAACATATAAAAATATAAACGCTCCGAGAATCTGTGGTAAAAATCCAAATATAAAATATCTACCCCCGTCAACGCCGGTAGTCCATGGATAAAGACCATCGTGATAATTCGCATAGATCGCGCAAAACATGATCGCGGCAGTCATCATAAGACATAATGTAATAATCGCTAGTAAAGAAAAAGGTCGCAAGATCGTGGGAAGAAATTTGAGCTCGGGGTATCGTTTGGTGTTGGGAGGAGGTTGTGTGGGAATGAAGATTTCGGCATCTTTTTCATTGGGAGAGGAGCGGGCTGGTTGGGGTGCTCTGATGGGTACTCTTCCCTCGTCTTCAGTAGGCGGTGTTGAGAGGGGCGGCGTGGCGTTGAATCCAAACAATCGTCCGGGTCCAGGTGTAGAACGATGTTTCCTGATGAGTGCGAGTTCTGCTCGTGTTGGTCGTTGGGGAATATACCGATTTTCATCTGGAATCAATCTTTCCACTGGATATTCCTCGGAGCTTTGCGAATTGGTTGGTTGTTGGCCTTGCTCGAGTTGTTGAGTTCTTCTTGCTTCTCGTCTCGCTTCCTCATCCCTCGTCAATTGATCGATCGCGAATCGGATAAATGGTGTATCGTCATTATTGGGAGTCGGCGGGCTCTCATCCTCCACCTGATCCGACATTCTTCTCGGTCTCCCTGAGGCTTCGGCTTCCATACCTCTTATCTGTTGTTCGTCAAATCGAACCATATTGCTATTGTATCGCTGGTGAGAAGCTTCCCAGTCACTTGCTCTGATCAGAGGAGTCTCTACCGAATCTTCCAAGTTCTCGTCGCTTTGCTCCGGAGTACGAAAACGAGATGGAGGGGTTGCCCACCGTGTCACCGTAGCGGCATCAGAATTGCTCGATGGAAGTGACGGTGTGTTTTCTCCGTAGCGCACATCCACACCGCTCAGTAATTCTGACGTTTGCACTTGTTGCAACTGTGGTCGTGAGTCTATGTACAGGGTCTAGGTCAGTAAAAACAAAACAGAATGAATCCAAAAAAGTAAAATGCACAGAAGGTAGGAGAATAGGTGTGAATAGGGAAAAACTCACGCTTCACTCTTCGCAAATCCAAAGATTCAAGATTCATCATCCTGTAAGCAACTCCGCCAATAATAACATAAGCAATTAATTAAGGAATGCATCTTCAAGGTTCGTGCGCGGAGCAAGTATCTATTAGTTAAAAGAGTGGCAGGTCGAAAAGATGGCTGGATGTTGGTGGTAGGTCGCCGCCGTGAATGGTTTTTCGCGCAGGGTCTCATCAAAAAGGGTGGCTGGGAAAGCGTCTAATTCGCCTCATTAATGAACTACATCATGCTCTGGTGCTTCAGGATACCTGTAAAACACGTTTTGTGACGGGCCACAATGCCTTCCAAGGTAATTTCCAGCCTTCTTTTTCGTTTCGATCAATTATATGGAGATACGTTGCACTGGCACTACTGTACCATAACGGGGCCAATTGGGCATTAGCAGATGTCAGATGGGATTCGTTGTCTCGCTTCCAGCAAGGGGACCTGCAGGCCGTTCATCTTGTTCTTTGGTCTTTTGTTTTTAGCTTTGAGATTCATGATTTGGTCCTGTAGTTCAAACACCAGAAACATGCAGTAGTACCCAATTTCGCGCTTCTGAGTGCAGCTCATCATTACGATGTATATAACAGTAACAAATTTCCGATGGATAAGGTGGGCTTATCGGAAAGCGTTTATCGTCAATACCTTATCGTGTTAGCAAATAAATTAATCCAGAGTTCTCGGCTCTAAAGTCCTTTTCAGGAACAACCGTTTCCTTCCAACCACAACCATTTATTTCGTGTAAGGATTCACGAACTCAACTGCAGAAGTCCGATTAGTTTATTGTTACCCCTCATAATTTCACAACTTCTAGCGGGCACATTCAAATATCCATTATGGTACCCCTCCTGTTCCTGGTCAACCTTAACCTCTCCACTCTCCTTTGATCTTCGTTGGGGTATATCCCTAAGGTTGTGTCCTAGAAGCCTTTGAATTTTGATTTACTTCTTAATTGCCGGTAGCTGCCCCCGTGCTTTGCACATAAATCCACTATACACAATTTGTAAACATTAACTATTTTTACCACGCTTCCAAAGCTCCCTTCCTATCATAAATGTCATAATCATCATGAAAGGACGCTAGAAATATTTTCATTCCACCCTTCCTAGCCTGCTAGAGCTAAGTATGCTGTTTTGACATGAGCAGATTTGAAAGAGGGGTCGATGCTTTGAATACTTTCATCCGTCTTGGAGGCCTCGAAGCGTATTTCGAGTGGGACGAGCGTCCGGTGAGCTTGTCAAAAAAAAAGCTATCGTGAGCCATTGTACAACCGTGTGTTCGAAAAAAAATCTAGTGTGTTGTGAGCTGATTTGAGGTATCCTAGTATATCCGGGGTTCTCAGGAGCATTCGCGTAGGATGAAGGGGTATGCAAAATTTGAAAGTCTCATCGAAAAATAAATTCGACTTACGTGCTGCGACTTTATAGCGACGGTATTAATGATCTCAGTATCTGAATATATCTTATCTCATTGCAAGAAAACCTTTAAAACAAAGAATAAGATTGCGATTCCAACGTATGAACTCTGTATGAATAACCGCATGTGCATGTATACGATAAGTGAATCTGAAAGTAATCTTATTCGAAATCGCAAAACAACAAAAATCGATTGTCTATAACCGATATCCCTACTACGTGCACGACCCTACTATATGCACACTTTTTTTATATCAAAACAAAAATCAATTTAAAATTTAAAAATCATTATAATAATATAAAATTTAATTCAATAATTAACTAATATTATCAATTTAGATTTATAAGGATTTCGAATTATTAAATAAAGAATTGATTGAATAATTAAATAAAGAGAATATAAAATCTTGATATATAATTTCTTAATAAATAATATATTAGAATCTATTTATAAAATTATAATAAATTTTTATAGATTTTTTGATATCAATAATATTATAAAAAAATCAAAAAAATCAAAAAAATCAAAAGAATTAAATTTAATATAGATTATTAGATTTTTTTAATTATTTATAATATTTTTAAAAAAGTTAAAAATATTTTTTAAAATGAATTTAAATTTTATATTTAATATTAAAGATTTAAAAAATAAGTTTTTAAAAAAGGAATTATATTAAATATTAAAAGATATAAAGTTTTGATTAATAAAAGAAAATTATTTAAAAAATATCTTTTATTTTTGAAATTTTATTTTTAAAATTATTTAAATCTTAACTCTATTATATATAATAAGATTCTAATTATATAAAAATCCTTTTAAAATAAAATTCTTTAAAAAGAAGTTTTCTTTTAATTCAAAATATTATTAATTCATTTTTAAAAAAATTATTTTAAATAAAAATTGATTTAATATTAATTAATAATTTAATTTTCAAAATTTAAATTCTTTATTAAATCAAAATCTAATTAATATAGTTTCATTCTTTAATAATTGATTAAAAACCATATAACAAAAAAGTTTAAAATTGAAATTTCTTAAAAAAATTAATGAATACTTATATTATATTTATTATTAAATTAAATCAAATTCTTAATAAGTTTTTATAAATCTTTATTTAAATATAATATTAATAAATTATAGATTTTAATATATTTATATTTTTTTAAAAGATTATTGTTATTATATAACTTAAAAATAGAATAAAATATTATAAATTCATTATTCTATTAATAATCAATTATTAAAATATTTTTTATAAAATATATTAGAATTTAATATTAATATAATTTCAAATTTTCGATAAAAAACTTTAGTTTTTTTCAAATATCTTATATTATAATATATAGAATTTCATAATTTCATTAAAAAAAACTTATATTTTTAATTATATTATAAAATATATTAATAAATAAATAATTTTTTTTATAAAAGTTGATATCTTATTTATTATTATTATTATAATAATTTTTGAGATTTTTATTTTTTTTATTTCAAAATATTATATAAGTTTATTTCAATTATCTCAATTTTGAATTTCAAATTATAATATCACTTTTTCAATTTTTAATTCAATTTTCTATATAAATAATAATAGTGTGCACATAGTAGGGTCGTGCACGTAGCAGGGATATCGGTTAGTGTCGCACTTCATCTGAATAACTGAGCACTCAAAGCTCAGTGTCCTGTGGCGGAGCCAAACATAGTATATACATGAAAGCAAGATAAAAATCAACTCCAATAACAGACCCTTGGTATAAAACATTCGATCATAAAACGTTCCTAGACGCCACCCATATATAAGCACTTTTTTTCTTCTCCCTAATTCATCCCATTGGCCCTGTTTCTCTCCATAAACTCATCATGATCGTGCACCACGACCTGTGGTATCGGCAAACCCAACGTGCTGCTCCTACTCCTTGTCGAGAATGTAGATATTGAAGCTTGCCTTGGACTAGCAATCATTCTTTCGACAATATATGGATCTGAAAAACTTCTTCGTGTCTGTTTGTACGAGTCGAATCTGGTATCTCTTGTATGATTGTAACTCAGGCGGCGGGGTCTTCCAGTAGTGTGATCATTTGCTTCTAGATCAGTGGTTTCTTCTATGTTGGTCAAGGACTTGTATGCTTGTGGGAAAGCATCGGGGAAAGATTCGGTGGTGGAGTCGAAGCGGTTGTGTTTGAGGTTGACAGGTTCATATTGTGCAGCTTTGCGGTTGCGATGCAGGATTAGGGAGCCATGTGCTAGAGGGATATAGAAGGCGAGTCTGTGAAGGCCATGTTAGCGAGGGCTCTAATCGCATACTAGAGAAAAAGATGAAATAGACATACAACAAGATGATATCAACAACCAAGCTAATAACACTCGGCATCGTCCTCTTAACAACACCGAAAGCGTTCCACAAACTGACAACGAACAAGGCTGTCCAGCTTGCACATTTGAATATGTTCATCATGAGGAAAACAATGGGTTTCAACTTGTGTCTGAACATAAGAACCATCTCTGTGATAGTGAGGATGATACACAAGCCAATGAACACAATGTAGACCCATCCAATGCTAGCTTCTGTCAATATTCATGCCCAAAATCAAGTCATAAGATAGATGTGCTTACCTTAGAGCTATCCTAATATCGTTGTCATCACTGTCATCATCGAAATCATTACTCATGATTTTAGAAATGGCCACGGCAACTATTCCAAACGTAAATCCGGGGAATATAATTTGAACAATCCAGCAAGGTACTAGGATCAGTCTCCGCCAAGGGGCATAAGGATGTTGGCTCGTCATGGTGTGCAAAAATGATACAACTACACTTCAAGATAAGGTTTAATATATGGAGCTTTTGAAGAACACCTCGAAAGTAACAAATAGAGAAAGCTCTATATATACAAGAGATCAACAATGAAGAGACCATGAAGCAAAAGAAAGAGAACAACGGCTGTGTATAACAAGCCTTGCATCCAAAACAATACCTATTTAAGCTGTAACCAATCAATAGCTCCATAGTTGCACGACATATCCATTCTTCGAATCTTTCTCCGTAACCCCATTCAAAACCATGTCGTGCCGCATCAATACTTGCCCATTTGCTCTTCACTCACTGAGACAACGCATCAGCAAACTGATGAATCATATCTAACTCAGCCTCAGCCCATCAAACTTTAATAGGCCAACCCAGCGACCAAATGACTAGCGTTCTATGTAAAGAAAAGGCTTCCACTGCTCCCTATACAGATTATGACTAAATAACTTGTGGGGCTGCAGTATTTGGGACAGCTTTGCTTTCGCAATTGACGTGAAAAAATTGGTTCGATGGAGGACGGGATCCCACAGCCCTGAAGAGAAGCTTAATCTTAATTTAGACAGGGCATTTAGGCATGTACAACACCCCATTAACAGCATCAGCACTCTAACCTTGGCGCTTCCCCGCCTTTAATCCACGCGATGAAGGATTCAACTCCTGGTTGTTCCCAACGCAGGAAAAGACGGTATGGCATAATGTGATTGACTGATATTTCTCGAAGCCGTTCTCGAAGCTCAATAAATTTCGTGTCTTGTGTGTGTTTCAGGATTGCTCCTTGCAGCAAGCTACAAACTGACAGCTAGACTTTTCGTTAGGTTGACTTTTTGCTGAGTTTTCGACATCGATTGGGTAATCCATACATCACGTGAAATATATGCAGCTATTTCTGCGGCTGCCCGGACGTAAATGGTGCCACTAATCAAAGAGTTGCGCGTAGGTCTATCGTGTAAATGGCCCATGGTAATTAAATATGCAAGTAAGAAGAAAACAAAGTGCTGGCGTCAGATCACCATAAGTCAAGCTTCTTTATTTTTAGCATCACTGTCTAATGGCCGAACAACAGCCGCCACGCATCTGATGCGGCTCAGCTGTATACCTTCATAACTCCTCCATTTGTTTATATCAATCTTTGAGACCTGAGTGGAGAAATCATTATTTTGATAGCTGCCTAGAAGATCTCGTCCACTCTATGGCCTCGCCGTAATTTCATCATTTGTGCTTTTCGGTATATGACGTCCATTCAAAATGATGATATGCTGGCTAAATTATTGTGCCATGTCCCTCTCCTGAACAATATCTATCATTCAAAACCTCAAATTAAACCCATCGCCACTACTTCATGGTTCTATTCTTAATTGCCCAGAACATCTGAAAATTTCTCATCCGTTGAGCCGAATAAACTCATAAAATTTCTTGGATGATGTTGTCACCGCCAAATCAACCCGCTACCGCTGCACTCAGCCTCCTACGATCTCCACCCCACCCCACTTCCTCTTCACCCAGAAACCTTTCCGATCGATCCTCAAGAATCCTTCAAGAATTCTATTCTACGGCCTATTCGGGATCTGTCTTTACCATCTCCGATGCACTGGATTGGGTATGTTTACTGGGGGTTCTATATCCGAATATTCGGGCCAAGCTTTGAACTACCTGAGTATTTTCTAGGCATCAAAATTATTGAGCCTCTGCAGACACTTCAACTTATTAACCATTCACCCGCTTTTTCGAAAAAGAAACAATTGCGATATTTCCACTAGTCGCTTATCAGATCTTTCACCGTTCCCACATAAAGAGATAGTCATGTCATAATATTAATGGTTTATTGGTTGTGGCGTTCAGAGGAAGCCTGAAGAGCAGGCAGTCCCAAGAGTAATCTACTCAACAAGTCTCTCCATATTCTAATTTCTATACACATTCCCAGATTGCGAAACTTCCATTCATGAATCTTAGCTTTTCTTCTGACCACCCATCTAAAGGAACCTTCCTCGATATTCTCTAACTAAGGCTTTCTATCTGGGAACCCCAAGTCAACACCGAATGCCGGGAATACATATCGCATAAGTTTTCCATTCTTCGTCAGGTCATCTGAGTAATCATTTATGATCTTCATGTCCGCATCGTCCAATTTTACGATGTTCATGTTTGCCTTTATTCTATCAAGAGTGACAGACTTGGCGAGGACCGAGCTTCCCCGAGCAACTATTGTTTATTAGCATGACTTACAACGGCAGTCGCATATTCAAGGGGGTCTTACCATGGTAGCTAAGCAATATTGAAGCTGGTGGTACATCTCTCTTCTTCGCAACCTCAACAATTGGGGCAGCGGTGAACAATGGGCTACCAGTGCTTCCCAGGGGACTGTAAGCTGTGATGTGGATTCCCTTTGACTTGCACAAATCGTAAATTTCCTGCTGGGGCAATGAAGGATGATTTTCGATTTGGTTGACGGCTGGGGTAATAGTAGCCTTCGAAAACAATTCCTCCAGATTCTTTACACTGTAGTTGGAAACTCCGATAGCCTTTGTCTTGCCGGTTTTGGAGACTTTCTCGAGTTCTTGCCATGTTTGGGTGTGAGACCATTCTGTTTGAAGATCGCGGGAGCCATCGGGGTGTTTGGGGAACAATTCGTGGTTTCCTGCTTGAAATGTTAGACATTATTACGCGATGAAAATGAAGGGGTAATGGGGTAAGTGAAGGAAATCCGCTTACCATTTGGGTTCATAGGAACTGGCCAATGCATCAAATATAAATCGACATAATCCAGTCCCAACTTCTTCAAACTCTTATCAAGAGCCTCTTCAACTCGCGTATGATATGTACACCATAATTTGGTAGTAATAAATATATCCTCTCTTTTAACTCCAGATGCGAAAGCTTCCTTGAGTCCTTGCCCTACTTCCTCTTCGTTTCCGTAAACATATGCTGCACGAGTTCGTTAGCTAGTACTACACACATACCCACATTTACGAAAGTAGAAGGTAAAGAGCAGAAGGCAAATAGAGGGAGGTCATACCGCAATCGATATGTTTGTATCCAATTGACAGTGCGTAAGAGACGGCTTTCGCGACTGCGCCCGGCTCAGATTGCCAGGTACCAAGTCCTAATGCCGGAATCTCAGCACCAGTATTGAGCTTGAATCTTGTATCGGCCATTGTGTTCTTGTTTGGTTATGTTTGTTGGTCTGCTGTTGTTAATATTCGATTGATCGATTTGAAAATGAAGGGACAAGCAGACTTTAATAAGACGTGGCTTCTTAAACGTGGGGGAGGGGAATTTTAGTACCTGGCTCGCGATCCAGAGAAAGAGCCGGGTATCAAATCCGCAAAAGTAGAAGGAAATCTAGAGATGATGTTTTCAAAATGTAAGGTAAATCTTTCCTGTATTTTAATCCTTTTGAAATCACATCTATCAAGAATTCTTTTATGATAGCTTAGTGATACACAAGACTTTACAAAGAAATAATGTTATCTTGTTTTGATATTAAATTTTGATTGAGGAATAGAATTTTGACATCCGGCATTTTCTCCGGGTTGCGAGCCTGGATAGTAGGATTCCGAGCTATTACATCTCAAGGTGGAGGAATGATGAAATATCTCTCAACCCCACCATGTAACCCCCACCAACCCCACTTCTGTGGAAGACTACTGATAGATCGGCAGAATCAAGGATGAAGATCTTAAGAGCAGCGACGTTTGCACGCTGGCTCGAATTGTATGAACTTACATTTCATCAATGTTTTCGCTTCACGCTTTACTTATTCTTGTCCAAACTTTGGGCCCATTTCAGGACCGTTACTGTGCCCTGATGGCCGAGATCGAGTTGCTCTCTGGTCTAGATGTGTCCACGAATGCTCTCATATCTGTTACACATTCGAGTCACCAAGTAGTTTTCAATTTGTTCTCGGAAAGTTTTCAAGGACTCGCCGTCACTTCGTTTGATGTGCTTCTGTGGCAAGATACCATGCTGCGCATGAATTTGATCATGATGCGACGGTCATACCTCGAAGCCACCATCACTAAGGGCGTTTGATCACTTTCAATTGTATCATTTCATTCATAAGACGTGCTGTATCTTTGAACGCGACGGGGTTGGAGCTATCAGCGAGTAACGTCTTGTCGAGTTCTTCACCAAGACTTCTCAGAGCGTACCTGCTCGCTCCAAATCATTCTCAGTGACAATTTAGCCTCATTCGAATCTTGAAGTCGACTGATACATGAATTTGTTATTGAAAATTAGATATGAGTGCAAGTTGTTGCCCTACATATATGGTCGGAATAGTCTTTCGTTATGCTTTCTCCACCAGATAAGACCAGAATGGAGCATCGCCGCCAGATTTTCATAATTTTGGCAGGTTTGCATATTCAAATCAGTCCATTCTAGACATTAAGTGAATAGCCATTATTGCTCAGATAATACTTAGGTACCTAGATCATTGCAAAGTTTCGAAGAACTGATCCTCAGAATTCCCATATTACTCAAGCAGAATGAACACCAACAATGTCGTCCATCACCAATGCTGCGGAGCACCTAGCGTATCTTCCTTTCCATGGCTGAAACATAGCTCAAGAACACGACCTTCTTTATCTTATATTCCCAAAGATAGCCACTTCTTCAATTGATATCAACCATAATACATCCTCATCTTTGAACTCTCTAGATCCATAGATTGAATTGATCGATAAAAGTCTTGAAAGATTTACAGAACCAAAGGGGAAACGAATTAATGGAAGCATGGCACATTATGAAGATTTTTATTCTCGTGAATAATCGCCGATCGGCTAATTTCAGAGTCAATGCTAAGTTTGATGATTGCTGGACGATGCAAGAGACTTCTTGCCCTCAGATTGTCGGAGGCCAACTCGATTCGCGACTAAAGATGGTGGTCAGTCTACTTGCCCTACAACAAATAGCGTCGATTTCAATGCATATAAATAGTCTGTTGAGATCATCGTTCACGGATTGTGACTATGGCTACCTAGGTAGCTATGGTCTCTTTCGTTGACCTTCTTAATGGCTCAATCTCACAATTTATATCTCAGGAAGTGTCTTCGCCCATCTAAGTACTAAAGCCGTATGTACAATCAGAAGACCAAGGGTTATAATTGCATGCCTTCCTGTATGGCTGTTGAATTGAGTGAGTATTATCAGCCTTCTTTCAGGATTCTCACACCTGAATATGGTATAGATACAGTCAATAACTACATGACCCGATCATCATGAAGTTAAATCAAGAAGATCATTACAAGAAGTAGCCAGAATATTTTGAGCAATTGGGTTGAATGACTATGATAAGACCAATAGGTCTTCTGGATTCCAAAATTTACAAAGCGCGACCCATTTGGGGAGACCTAAAGATGGAAATAAAACAAGCGTGGCGATACTTATCGCAGAGTTCTTCGTTCGTGTGTTTGTCTCATCGAAGTTTGGAGATCCTACAGTGAATGAGACTGCCTGAAAACTCAACAAGGTAGCACATCGAGCATAATCAAGTCGATATTGATGAGGATAATTTTCCCACTCATTGAAAAGTTTTCATTTAACCTTCCTAGTCGCATCAGCTTTGTTCACATATTAATTTACTATTCCCGACATCAATTCACTGAAGATCACAGATATCATCCATCAGCACATTAGACTATCGCATGGTGCGTCACTTCCTAGAGGCATTCAAACTGCAAAAGTACTCGGCAATCCTTATTTAGTCTATGGCGATCACAAGCATGCTATTTTGAACAAAGAGATTCTCGTCAATCACCAGCCAAATTTGAAGATGGGATACACACGTAAAGCCGATTCTATGATAGTTGAATGCTTCTTGTGTGAGAAAAGTCAATGATGTCCAGAACTAGACTGTAAATCTCAATGGATCAACACTTCATAAATTTACGCAGAACCGGAGAGCCTTATTAAATGATCATTTCACTCATACACGGATGAGAAACATCGTTCATTAGGCCGTTTAATCATTAGAGATAATTCAATGCTTACTCCGTTGGCGCATGATGTATTGGAGATCATCAGGGGTAGTGCAAGGGGATTAGCTTCAATCAAGACTCTACTAACAATTCACTGGAAGACTGATAGCCAATATAAGATGCAATACAACGCAGCGAAAGCTGTTGCCTTGCTTACGCTCTGCAATCCGAGTTGCACATTCATATTTGGATTGATCCATGAGGTCATGGGATATCAAACACACTCCAATTCAGCGTCTAATTTATCTGTCGAAGTTGTTCAGCCGCTGAATCACACTTACCTGAAGTTGGCGCAATTCATTGTTCGTACGAAATTTAGGCTCCATCAATTATTAAGGTCGTTGCTCCTCCGCTTAGCAAATAGCCGCAGCGGCTTTAACGATACCCCAGGATTTCATACCAATATCGCCTTACTAGCGGGTCAATTTGAGATCCAGTAAGCTTGGCGACCAAGAGTAAGTCTGCCAAAGCGCTTCTGTTTGCGTCGTGATCGTTTATATAGATTTAGATGGGCAATTTGAGAATATCAAGTAATTAACCTTCATTTAATGCTTATTTATACACTTGCCTTTACATCAAATATCTATCTTCGGTACATAATACTTTCATTCATCAAAACATGTTCATCTGTACACCTTTACTACTCTTTTTGTCGGCTCTCTCGACTACAGCAATGGGTGACCCGGAAATTCATTCAGCACAAATTACACCAGCCCCTACTACTTTTAAAAGCCTCGTCCTCCGTGATACTGCTGATGCTACAACTACTACACAAGGTCCCCCTCCCGAAATTGTTAGCGTCGAACCAACACCTTTTCCTTCCTTCTGCTGCTCTTATAACACTACGGAAATATCAGGTTCTCTCGATAAAGGAAGCTACGTTCTCAACTTGAATGGATTTGGAAACACAGATTCGTCCCCCGCACATTCGAGCAAGACTAAGGATTTTAGTAAATGTGTCCCTAGCCTCAGAAATGCGATTGACGAAGCTTTTATGTCAGAAATTGGATATGAAAAGTCACTTGAGTGTTATCCAAGTTACGGAGGTACAAATGATACATATGTTGTAATAGATATGACAGCTCGCCATGAAGATCACGGGGCATCTCTCCTAGAAGTTGTGGTAAGTGACATCCAAAGAAGAAAACATGAAGGAAAAAGAATTAACGGGCTACCTTCGCAGAGAAAATGGGCTCCAGGCTGGGCGGCGCCAAGTGTGGCAGCAGCGGCAGGCTCGGAACCAACACAGTGGATGGATCCTCGAAGTCTTATTCCGGATGATGCAACTTGTCAGATGGGTGGTTCATGCTCTGGTCAACAAGTGAGATTTCACTTTTCATTCCCTTAACACAAACTTAAATGCTGACCAAATTGCTTTAAAGTTGCCAGTGGGATATTGTAAATCGAATTGTGATTGATAAGTTGAAACGGAGACGAAGACGTAAATGCTTTCATATCACTAACAGGATGCACCAAGATTGGAGAAGCATGATGGATAGACTATGCGCAGCCAACTAATCATTTTTTTATTTTACAATGTCGGTAATATTTTATTGTATACGGATAGAGGATTATTACCACAGAAATGCTCAGTTCAACGTGATTATTTTATCGGAGCTAAGTGTGCTATGTAACATGCACCAGTGAAATAATTGCTAGAACCCAGATGGCACTCAGATTTGTAGATAAGAGTGAAGTATTTACAAGCGCGCCATATAAATGTACACACCTAATGTAAATAATAGCTGAGCAATGCCCAAAGCTCATCCGAGCAACATTTCAACCAATGTTCAGTTTCACTCTGACATTGAGCATCCACTCAAGTGACAAGATTCATATTCAACAACGAACTTTCTTTTTCAAACTCAAAGTAAACCAACAATAAGTGTTGATTCATCAACTTAGATACCGATATTTAGTTCCCATTCCACTGTCAAATCCAAGCACTGACATTTAAATCTAGCTAATGCTCAAATCAAACTCCAACTTTGGGAACTTCACCTAAGGAGAAAATATGGATTCATGCGCATGATAGTCCAAGCACTGAATCCCAAAACCAACGATATGAAACGTGGAGGTCTATTACAATGAATGTAAAAGATCCTCAAGAGCAATGATAAAGAATCTTGACAGAGGAAATACCATAGTGCGAAGAGGGCTACATTCCCAAACTTTCTCCACTAACACCTTTAAGCTCCGTCAAACGATGTTGTAGAGTGCCTTGATACAATTCAGTTATCTTGGGTATCTTGGCCCGCTGCTTGGCGCTTGTCGAAGTTCCTCCAGAGTTTTCCTTGGCTGGGCAGGGTACCATCCTTCATCATGTGGGCGTTCTCTCATGTAACGACTTCGAATGGCTCGCTCGCTTGTAGCATTTCCGAAGAAGTATCTGAGCTTTGACACGACATGCTTTCTTCCATCTTCGCGCTCCCGGTTAGTGTCGTAATCAGTCTTCCAATGCTCAGCCCATTCCATTACAATAAAGTCTTCATAACCGCTTATTTTGTACTGAAGATAGTGTTGTCCAATTATGGAAATCTCAAGTCTAGTACCACATTCAGCTGCAATCTTATCGATAAGTATCTTTTCATTGGCTGCGACAAAGTCTGTGCTAAGGTTCCTCCAGTCTCTTAAATGTGTTCTGAAAAACCGGCGAGCCTTGTTGACGATAAAGATACGATCAAAATCGGGATTGGATGAGCCTTTTGGAATACTCTTGTAAGCGGAACTGATTCTGGCACTGGTATTCAGACCCTTGCCTACTAGCCGAAAAATCTCCTTTACAATATCATTTTCTTCATCTTGCTGATCACGCCATTCCCGGAAGCCCATATTCAAGTAACCAGCCCACAATTCTATGATGATTTTTTCGTCGTCAGTGAAATTCCTGTAGGTCTTGGGGGGTAGCATAGACATGATAGATTGTTGATGAAGAGATTGCTAAAAGTCGGTTAGTGCGATAGAGAGACACCGGAGATTGATGAAGGGCAAACAAAACCTTGGCAGAGATTCGGCAGAGCTTTGATGGAAATATCGCCAGGAGAATTATTGAATCGTGAAGAAGTGATAACAGAATGTCCAAGTCTGGTAAGTATTTGACGGAAGAACTATGGAGAACTTGCCGATTTTGTAAAGTGTTGATGAGAATTTGGATGAGAATTTGCTTGCGTATAGAGAGGAGGATTTTATCTGTGTGTATGTGTGCAAAGTGATTATTGGAATTGTACGGGAGAAGAAACAGAAAGTAAAAAGGGGGGTGGTCCTATTTAAGCGCGTTTGGAGGGACTTTGGAACTCGAATCAGTCATTCAAAAGAAGCATTGAATCGGAATTGATTCTTTATTCTCGAGTTGTCATAGGGCATTTTAAATCACCACAAATGGGCATAAATAACACAGAAGTAGCATACTGATGAATGATCCTGTTATAATACCTTGTATTCCAGTCATTTCAGAGCTCTGAGGCTTTTTTAGTCATGAAACTTTGTCACTGATGTGTGCGACAGGGACAAATTCAATATGACTGAAATAAGGACTCGTTGTGGAACGATAATTGCGAACTCAGTCACCGATATGGTGAATTCAGAGCAAAAATACATCTTATCAGTCATTTTTCCCAATAAGGTGTGTCATCGTGGTGAATTTCGTTCTAAAAATAACTTCAATCGTGGTAAATATTGGTATAGGATATGTAAGATTTGTGACTGGAGTCTGAGTGTGAAGGCTCTCAACAGTCATTCTTGGGGAAGGCAGTCGATATTTCCAGTAACCCCTGATAATTAGGGCTCAAGAAAGCTATATCGTTGTATCTGGACACATACATGTACAACTTCTTTTGTTTCATCACAAAAACAACTGGTGAGCTGGCTATGGATGAATCTCAGGCGATCCAAATTCTCAGAGATATACTCATTGACAAAAGTTCCAGCTCTGTCCTGAAGACACTGTACTCGAGGGAGCCCTACGAGCTCATTCCAAGAGTTGCACATCAGTATTATGATATGTGGAGAGAATTAAACAGATATTGTTTGATGGTTGCAAACTGGCAAGGCGAAAGTCATAAAAGAAAGTCTGCGTCGACGACATCTACATCTCGTCAAAATGGTCTTTATTAGTTCACATACGAGCGACTGAGTCGCAACAAGAATAGCGATACTCGGAGCTTTGGACATCACTTTAGTTAATTGATCATGGATATTTACTTTGAAATCATGAGAATCCCTCAAGTCTGTTTATATATCTACGATACCTCGTGTAGAAACACATTTATACAGCATCCATTACCAAAAGATATCATAAAATGCAAGCTGATAATTATGTATTTTTAGAGACGCACGCCTTACACATTTCGATTCACAGTCACATCAAAAATTAAGAGCATATGCTCAATCGGCACGGCCACTTAAGTTAATTATTGATGTGCCCAAACACGAATGGAGAACGAACCTGAGTTTCAACAATACTCCTGCTAACTCCATATTTGAGATACAACTTTATGATAGCATTCAAGCGACTGCATCGCAATGGCGCAAAATTGAAGACGTTCCAGAAAAATGTAATGTGATAATGCTGACGTCATCAAAGGAGTCCAGATTTGAGCTAGGCGAGCTCGATACCTTTGATTGCTCAAAAAGAGCCGACATAGTACCCGATGTTCTAGCCGTCATTTTTGACGCCGTAGCTTCCGAACTTTCTTGCACCGCTACTGAGGGAGTCGCGTTGGTGAACATTGCTTGCGATATGGTTGAATCACTCAATAATTCCAGTCGCAAACGGATTCAGAATGCCGAGAAGCAAACAGATTAGCGAGAAGCTTGCTAGGAAGTATAAATAAAGTAAGAGAGCTGGTAATACCGGAGTATAATGAGCGAGAGTGGGTTTGGCGCCCGAGATAGAGATCCCAAGAATCTGGTAATTTTCGCTTAGCATTCGAACCCAAACTGTTGTACTAACTGTGATGAAGATACGAGCATACCTGACTTCAATCAGTCAACGCCACACTCACTCAAAAAACGACTATATGATTATGTATAAAGTCACTCTACATAAATAGTAGAAGCTGCAATTCTCGAGATTGCATTAGTTATATACCTACAAGCCTACCTCATATAACAACAAAAAAGAAACTATATGACCGCCCGGAATCTAAGCCTCCTACATATAAAAATTATCCATCCTGAACCCAAACGCATATTCTACCCTTCACCCCGTGACTCCAATCCACAAACTCAACTCCCTCAATTCCACGATCTTATTTCCTCACCGTGCAGCCCGCACAATTCCTCCCTTCTTCCCTCAAAATATCAGATCCAAAATCCAGTCCCAGAACCAAAAATCCTCATTACACCCACCCTATCCCAAACCACGCTTTCCCTCCACAGCTCCCACATCCCCATTATTCTCACCTTCACCCCCACCCTAAAAATGTCACCAACAACTTCATCCCCATCCCCAGACCCCCCCCCACCTTCTCCACATATCCAGATCCATATCCCAACTCTCCACCCTACCCTCCCAACCCCACAATTCCCAAATCTCAAATTTCAAATCTCAAAAACGAAACTCAGACACTCAGACACCCCGCAGCGCGAAACGACGAAATGTGCGACTCCCCGAGCGATGACACAATACAGTCTAGGAAGTCTACCAGCTGCGTTTATGGACGCACACGCCTGCAGATATATAAGTGGGCGAGGGAAACGATGCATAATAGCGTAACTTGTGTGTATGAAAGAGAGAGAGAGAGAGGAGGAATCGATTTTTGGGATAAAATTCATTCATCACGTCACAAAGAGAAAAATTACCAACCCTTCACGTCTACACATCAGCGATAATATTCAAATTAGAGAAACTAGTGATGCTAGAGAATACCATACTGGACCGAACATCACATGCACATCAATTGAGTCATAGAATCTCGATTTCTATTCTGAAATATATAATAGAATAACAATATAATTATCCTATCTTTGTATACCTACCTATTCTCATAATTTTCTTCCCCGTAAAAACTATCTACCTCCTTACCTACCTACCGTACCAAGAAAATAATACATACTCAGCTTAGCTCGAGTTCCACCCCAACAATTCTTCAATTCAGACTTGAGAAAATCTACCTTCCACACTGCAATCTTGTCTTGTCTTGGAGCGTCGCGCACAGCCTAAGTTCAAGTGGAAAATCTCTGTATTCATATATCAAATACACACACATATGCCAATAATCTCTTATCTCCTCCATCATCCATTACCTATCTTCTCTTCTACTACTCCCCCATCAGCCCCGCCAGCCACCCGCTTAGAGTAAAACTCCAAAGGCATTTATACCTGCCTAGGTAAATAAATATACAGTCCCATACCTCTTATCCCTACCAATCCCATCATACTCTCCCATTCCACATCGCACATTCACACATTGCCCATTCCCTTATCCCTATCCCTTATCCCCTCACCCCTTCCCCCTCCATTCATAACCTCATACCCTCATACCCTCATACCCTCATACCCTCATACCTCGATCCGAAACAAACATATACAAACACATACAAACGGACAGATATGGATGGGTATAAGCTCGCTCGCTCGCTCGCTAGTTGCTGAAACACCAAAAGCGAAACCAAACAAATAAAATCAAACAAAACTAGACAAGAACAAAACGAAAAATTAATCATATCATATCATTTCATTCCATATCAAAACCTCCTTTTTACTAAAATCTCCAATAATAACCTCTCTCTCCTACACCCCCAAACTCCAACCTTATTACTTGTTACATAATTCTCGTATTTATTACACATATTTTCTTCGCTCCTGCCTCCCTAGAACGGAAGACTCGTTCTTCATCGTTCAAGAAATACATTTATTAACCCCACCTCCTCCCATTATTCGTCAACATAAGGATTCCACTCCATACCCGGGTAGCTCGTTGCAGACATTTGCAATTTGTTCTCTTTTGCATGTGCTATTTTGCTGACGACATCTTTATAGTGAACATGCTCGCTAATCTCGCCTTCATTAACATCGGTCACCCCTTCACCGCCTCTCATTGCAACTTCATCTTCTTTCTTCCTCTCTGGACATCCGTCTCCTAAATCGGCATCCTCGCTTGGTAATCTTGATATAGGGTTGAAGATGCTTCCACTACGATGCTTCAAGCCATCATCGCAATCCACATACAATTTATCATCCATCATACTCACCCTGTGTGGTTGTGGGGACGGAGAGTCAGAGATTTGTGATACATCACTAACAAGACTTCTTCCCGTGCTAGAACGCCGCAAACCGTCATCCGTAGCCACCGAAAGATTTCTATTTCGATGCCAGTCTGGGCTTTGTTGAGATGGAGAGGGTGGCAATGGAAAACGACCAATGTCAATATTTTCGTATGACTGTGAAAATTCACCCATAGGCAATGGAACTGAAGTTGGACTTCTCGGTGCTACATCTTCATTCTTGGGAGAACGAACAGGTGGCGTAGATGAGCGATGGAATTGATCATGTGCATCACTGCTTTGTGGTAAAGCAAGCTGAAAAGGTCGTTGCTGACCAGGCTGCTCGCGAGCGGGAGACCGAGCTAGGATGTCTTCGTGACTTGGGAGATTGGTGCGAATAGGAGATGCCAACGGTGAACTATGTGTATCTATCGATGGTAAGTTTATAAGTCTTCTTTCGGGTGAGAAGGTCTGATGAAGTGGTGGTGATTGGTGCAAAACGGAGGAACCAGAATAAGCAAGAGGTAAAACAGGTGATGAATTAGAAGGATCTTTCCCCAGAGACGGACGATTAAATTTATTAATACCGCGTGGGTCATGGTTGGTAGGTGTTGGGGTCGTTCCATCACCACGAACAAGATTATATCCATCTGGAATGGGGACTGAATCATATTGAGGCTCAGAAATTCGTGGTGGGGTGTCGTACCAACGAGTATGATGATGCGAACGAGGATGTGAGTAGTCCTGTTTGTTACGAGGTGAGTTGCTAGAGCTGCGAATCCGTTCTTGTTCTTGATCTTTTTTACTTAATCTTTGCGTGGTTGTGGCAATCGAGTCGGGTAAGACCTCATGTGATTCTGCGCCTAGATCCGAGTACATTCTAGCTACTGGCACAACCACAGGCTTCCTTCCGCTATCTTCATTTCTTTCACCATCTTTCTCTAGTGTATTCGATCTTTTTCTAAGCATACCGGTCAATAGTCCACTCACTGAAGAGCGCCTCGGGCGGGGTTCCAGATGCAGCTTACTATCCTGTCTTGATGGGGCTTCGGTCTTTTGAAGAGAGGTGGAGGGGCCCAATTTAGAAAGAAAGTTCAACGGTTGACTTGGTCTTCGTTTATGGCCCATATTTGCGCTTTGTATAGAATGATCTTCGAATTGAGGCGAAGAAAGGGTGCCACTTCGGGGACCAAAGCTCGAAAGATCCGCTGTGGCCCTTTTTGGCTTAAAGAGTACTGACCCATCTCCTTTGGGGGAACGTGAGAAGAGGCCACTCAAACCACTTAATCTACTTCGCTTTTCGTCTTTCTGCAATGTTTTTCCCATTGTAGTTGTAGAACGCCCAAACGTATTAGAATGCGGTGTTTCCAATGTAGAATTAGGGTTGAGGAAGGGTCTTGACGTTTGAGGACCATCATGCTGGCTATTCATAAAATTGGACTGGCTACCAGAATGTTGTGCTACCATACTCTCTCTTCCAGAATTGGATGATTGTTCACCGGTGATATCAAATGTGCCCCAGAAGCCAGATCCCCTCCTTTTTTGCCTGTCATCACGCATCGGAGATGAAGCAGAAGTCTTAGTAGGATATTTTTTCTCATCCTTTGAAACAGAACTCCTTCGCTCTCTAGACAAAGACCGTACGAGATTTATGCCTCTGTTGACAAGGTCTGAGCTACGGCGTCGCCGATGAGCGGTAGGCTCGTTAGAGCTTTCAAGGGGCCGAGCTCCAGGGAGCTCATCTGCTCGGTGATATGAAGGAAAAGGTTCAGTCCGACTAGGAGGTGCTTGATGATATCCACCGGGCATATCAGGATCACTTCCGATTTCAGTAACCGGCCCCCCAAATAGCTCGGGGTAGCGTTGAGTGGAAGAAGGAGGTGTCTCGAATGGTAAAGCTGGTATCAGTGGCGGAGCATTACCATCGCGGGGCTGGACAAACTGCTTATCAGAAGTTGAACCTCGTCTAGATCGAGAATTTTTTGAGACGCTGTTCCATGAGTCTTGACGAGTGTGCCTGATGGCTGGGTTTGATCGACCCATGTCTTGTGTGGGGCTTCTTTGAACAAATGGATCTGCGACACGAGGGAAAACCGAGAAACGAGGCTGTGGGCTGATTTGAAGATTAGCTTTTGGGTCTCGAACTATGTCCGCCATTGCAACATCTGCATGCGAATTTTGCTGTGGGGCAAGATTCTCTTTAACTTCCGCCACATGCGATGTTACTGCATCTTGTGTAACGCCATTAGACTCAGCCTCAACCTCATCTTCATCATCAGATATAGGAAATCTGGTTTGGGGTCTTCTGGACCCGAATTCAAATCCAAACTTGGATGTGCGCCGGATAGGCGGCAATGTCTTGGATGAAGGTTGCCTTCCTTGCTCCTCGGGAGCAGCTATAGTTTGATCTATCGGTTGTGTAGAAAGAGGTGTTTGTACAGAACCAAAAGTCGGTCGAATGGAATGGTCAGATGTAGTGGCCTGATCCAGACTTGCTCCTCGCGGTCGATTGATCATGCTGATCGGAACGCGAGTTGATGATTCCAACTCCGCAGGAGCTTGAACTGTGTACCCTCCGATGACCGATGCAGCTGCGGC